CTCTCTCTCTCTCTCTCTCTCTCTCTCTCTCTCTCTCTCTCTCTCTCTCTCTCTCTCTCTCTCTCTCTCTCTCTCTCTCTCTCTCTCTGTGCTGGGTACCAAGTACTAACCTGCGAAAGGTGTCGCCTTGATGCAGTTACGGACACACGGAGGACGAAGCAGGAGCGCTGAAGCCGACAGGTAAGTCCCCTGGTCTCCGCTATATCCCAGTCCCTCTCTCTCTCTCTCTCTCACTCTCCTCTGCTGCGATGTACTGCAGCTGCGCTATGCTTAGCGCTGAAGTCCCACGGCAGCGCTATGCTAGCGCTGAAGCCCTACCGCTATCATCGACTACCACTACTGCTATGTCGAACGCCTACTGAATACCTCCTGAGGCTGAGGTGGACCGGCTATAAGTAGTGCTAGTCTGGCCTCAGCCGTGCTTCGAATCGAATCGAAGACTGGCGCCGACACTGGCTGGGCCTGAATGGTCCTGGCGCCTAACCTGGCGACGTGAAACTGGCTGGGCCAGAATTGGATTGCCGTCTGATATTGTTCCCGGCTGGTATTGAAAAAAAGAAGAAGAAACGGTCCAGCCCTTGTATTGGAAACTCTTCCTAGGCCAGAAAGACGGCCAGGCCTACCCTCTAGTCCAAAGAGGCACTTATGCCTGTTCAGGCAACATGCACAAGGCAAAAGTGAAACTAGCCCAGGACAGGCAACACTGAAACAGACATCAGAAGGAGACAAAAAATCTGAGGACTGCAGAAAATTAAGAATGCAGAAAAAAAAAAAAAAAGGTTATGTCTGGGAGAAGCGGGTATGTTCTTCCTAGGAGAAGAGCCAAGCAGACGACGAAAGCCGAGACATTCGCTCCCTGAAGACAGGACATAGCAAGCAGGCACCCCGAAGAGTCTGGATACTGAAAGATTACCAAATGGCAAGGAGGCAGGGTTGGCCAAGTCTGACTGATCAGGAGGGATGGTACATCACAGAAACAAGCAAGGATTGCTACAACACGCAAGGAGACCTGGTTTGTGAAACATATCCTGGAAACAGGAGATATTGGAGCAAGGTTGACTCAAAGGAATCTCGGAGTATGGGTACACAGGATGAGGGCTTAGGGTTTAGGGGTTTAGTGAAGAAAAAAACCCTAAAAAAAGAACTGTAACCCAATCTCGGTAGTAAGATTATCTTGATTTTCTGTCCCATTTTATGTGTCCCCACATAAAATGGGACAGAAAATCAAGATAATCTTACTACCGAGATTGGGTTACAGTTCTTTTTTTAGGGTTTAGGGTTTAGGGTTTACAAGGAAATAAAGTAAATAGGATTTTGAGGTGAGACACTGCAAAGAAGATTATAGGCGTCCCAGAAAGGTCTCACATAACACACCTACCCGACAGTGTCACAGCTAAGAGGAACAGAAGTGGGATCAAACGGGTTGGTATGCAAATTTAGCGTAGGCTAACTTAGGCAGGGGTGAGAGATGGTATATCTTTCCTCTGGGAAGTAATCAATGYCGTCTACTCGGGCCTCCCAGCCATATTGGGGGGGAGCGTGCGCGTGTCTCTTATGTATCCCGTATAGACTTGCCGGGGGAAAGGAACCGGACTGTTGCTCCCCAGAATGGTAGGAACCAGAGCCACGAGGCTTTGTAAAAAAAAAAAAAAAAA